GGACGGCGGCTCTCTCGGACGGCGGCTCTCTCGGACGGCGGATCTCTCGGACGGCGCCTCTCTCGGACGGCGGCTCTCTCGGACGGCGGCTCTCTCGGACGGCGGCTCTCTCGGACGGCGGCTCTCTCGGACGGCGGCTCTCTCGGACGGCGGCTCTCTCGGACGGCGGCTCTCTCGGACGGCGGATCTCTCGGACGGCGCCTCTCTCGGACGGCGGCTCTCTCGGACGGCGGCTCTCTCGGACGGCGGCTCTCTCGGACGGCGGCTCTCTCGGACGGCGGCTCTCTCGGACGGCGGCTCTCTCGGACGGCGGCTCTCTCGGACGGCGGCTCTCTCGGACGGTGGCTCTCTCGGACGGCAGATCTCTCGGACGGCGGCTCTCTCGGACGGCGGATCTCTCGGACGGCGGATCTCTCGGACGGCGGCTCTCTCGGTCGGCGGCTCTCTCGGACGGCGGCTCTCTCGGACGGCGGCTCTCTCGGACGGCGGCTCTCTCGGACGGCGGCTCTCTCGGACGGCGGCTCTCTCGGACGGCGGCTCTCTCGGACGGCGGCTCTCTCGGACGGCGGATCTCTCGGACGGCGGATCTCTCGGACGGCGGATCTCTCGGACGGCGGATCTCTCGGACGGCAGATCTCTCGGACGGCGGATCTCTCGGACGGCGGCTCTCTCGGACGGCGGCTCTCTCGGACGGCGGCTCTCTCGGACGGCGGCTCTCTCGGACGGCGGCTCTCTCGGACGGCGGCTCTCTCGGACGGCGGCTCTCTCGGACGGCGGCTCTCTCGGACGGCGGCTCTCTCGGACGGCGGCTCTCTCGGACGGCGGCTCTCTTGGACGGCGGCTCTCTCGGACGGCGGCTCTCTCGGACGGCGGCTCTCTCGGACGGCGGCTCTCTCGGACGGCGGATCTCTCGGACGGCGCCTCTCTCGGACGGCGGCTCTCTCGGACGGCGGCTCTCTCGGACGGCGGCTCTCTCGGACGGCGGCTCTCTCGGACGGCGGCTCTCTCGGACGGCGGCTCTCTCGGACGGCGGCTCTCTCGGACGGCGGCTCTCTCGGACGGCGGCTCTCTCGGACGGCGGCTCTCTCGGACGGCGGATCTCTCGGACGGCGGCTCTCTCGGACGGCGGCTCTCTCGGACGGCGGCTCTCTCGGACGGCGGATCTCTCGGACGGCGGCTCTCTCGGACGGCGGCTCTCTCGGACGGCGGATCTCTCGGACGGCGGATCTCTCGGACGGCGGATCTCTCGGACGGCGGATCTCTCGGACGGCGGCTCTCTCGGACGGCGGCTCTCTCGGACGGCGGATCTCTCGGACGGCGGATCTCTCGGACGGCGGCTCTCTCGGACGGCGGCTCTCTCGGACGGCGGATCTCTCGGACGGCGGATCTCTCGGACGGCGGATCTCTCGGACGGCGGCTCTCTCGGACGGCGGCTCTCTCGGACGGCGGCTCTCTCGGACGGCGGCTCTCTCGGACGGCGGCTCTCTCGGACGGCGGATCTCTCGGACGGCGGATCTCTCGGACGGCGGATCTCTCGGACGGCGGCTCTCTCGGACGGCGGCTCTCTCGGACGGCGGCTCTCTCGGACGGCGGCTCTCTCGGACGGCGGATCTCTCGGACGGCGGCTCTCTCGGACGGCGGCTCTCTCGGACGGCGGCTCTCTCGGACGGCGGATCTCTCGGACGGCGGATCTCTCGGACGGCGGATCTCTCGGACGGCGGATCTCTCGGACGGCGGATCTCTCGGACGGCGGCTCTCTCGGACGGCGGCTCTCTCGGACGGCGGCTCTCTCGGACGGCGGCTCTCTCGGACGGCGGCTCTCTCGGACGGCGGCTCTCTCGGACGGCGGCGCTCTCGGACGGCGGCTCTCTCGGACGGCGGCTCTCTCGGACGGCGGCTCTCTCGGACGGCGGATCTCTCGGACGGCGGATCTCTCGGACGGCGGATCTCTCGGACGGCGGATCTCTCGGACGGCGGATCTCTCGGACGGCGGCTCTCTCGGACGGCGGCTCTCTCGGACGGCGGCTCTCTCGGACGGCGGCTCTCTCGGACGGCGGCTCTCTCGGACGGCGGCTCTCTCGGACGGCGGCTCTCTCGGACGGCGGCTCTCTCGGACGGCGGATCTCTCGGACGGCGCCTCTCTCGGACGGCGGCTCTCTCGGACGGCGGCTCTCTCGGACGGCGGCTCTCTCGGACGGCGGCTCTCTCGGACGGCGGCTCTCTCGGACGGCGGATCTCTCGGACGGCGGCTCTCTCGGACGGCGGATCTCTCGGACGGCGCCTCTCTCGGACGGCGGCTCTCTCGGACGGCGGCTCTCTCGGACGGCGGCTCTCTCGGACGGCGGCTCTCTCGGACGGCGGCTCTCTCGGACGGCGGCTCTCTCGGACGGCGGCTCTCTCGGACGGCGGCTCTCTCGGACGGCGGCTCTCTCGGACGGCGGATCTCTCGGACGGCGCCTCTCTCGGACGGCGGCTCTCTCGGACGGCGGCTCTCTCGGACGGCGGCTCTCTCGGACGGCGGCTCTCTCGGACGGCGGCTCTCTCGGACGGCGGCTCTCTCGGACGGCGGCTCTCTCGGACGGCGGCTCTCTCGGACGGCGGATCTCTCGGACGGCGCCTCTCTCGGACGGCGGCTCTCTCGGACGGCGGCTCTCTCGGACGGCGGCTCTCTCGGACGGCGGCTCTCTCGGACGGCGGCTCTCTCGGACGGCGGCTCTCTCGGACGGCGGCTCTCTCGGACGGCGGCTCTCTCGGACGGTGGCTCTCTCGGACGGCAGATCTCTCGGACGGCGGCTCTCTCGGACGGCGGATCTCTCGGACGGCGGATCTCTCGGACGGCGGCTCTCTCGGTCGGCGGCTCTCTCGGACGGCGGCTCTCTCGGACGGCGGCTCTCTCGGACGGCGGCTCTCTCGGACGGCGGCTCTCTCGGACGGCGGCTCTCTCGGACGGCGGCTCTCTCGGACGGCGGCTCTCTCGGACGGCGGCTCTCTCGGACGGCGGCTCTCTCGGACGGCGGCTCTCTCGGACGGCGGATCTCTCGGACGGCGGATCTCTTGGACGGCGGCTCTCTCGGACGGCGGCTCTCTCGGACGGCGGCTCTCTCGGACGGCGGCTCTCTCGGACGGCGGCTCTCTCGGACGGCGGCTCTCTCGGACGGCGGCTCTCTCGGACGGCGGCTCTCTCGGACGGCGGATCTCTCGGACGGCGGATCTCTCGGACGGCGGCTCTCTCGGACGGCGGATCTCTCGGACGGCGGCTCTCTCGGACGGCGGCTCTCTCGGACGGCGGCTCTCTCGGACGGCGGCTCTCTCGGACGGCGGCTCTCTCGGACGGCGGCTCTCTCGGACGGCGGCTCTCTCGGACGGCGGCTCTTTCGGACGGCGGCTCTCTCGGACGGCGGCTCTCTCGGACGGCGGCTCTCTCGGACGGCGGCTCTCTCGGACGGCGGCTCTCTCGGACGGCGGCTCTCTCGGACGGCGGCTCTCTCGGACGGCGGCTCTCTCGGACGGCGGCTCTCTCGGACGGCGGCTCTCTCGGACGGCGGATCTCTCGGACGGCGGATCTCTCGGACGGCGGATCTCTCGGACGGCGGCTCTCTCGGACGGCGGCTCTCTCGGACGGCGGCTCTCTCGGACGGCGGCTCTCTCGAAACGGCGGACAGCAAGCAACGTGCAGTGGCGACAGGAGACGAGGACACTGGCGCGGGATTCGACGGGGAGACGGACGATGGGGCGGGGAAAGTGCGGGCAAGAAATTGAGCTGTGGACTCAACTAACGGACCGGACGGCGACCCCGGACGACGACGTCCCCATGACGCGGTGTGGACGTCCAGCGCTGGGACTTGGAGCAGCTGCAGTAGCAGCGTACTTCCCCCCATCCCGGAACTCCCCAGGCAATAAGTGAGTGAATAAACCCTTTGCCGAGACCAAAGTGTTGCTGTGTCATGTTCATCCGGGAACAGGGTCTGAGAGAATCGAAGGTAGAAGCCCGCAAGCTGCGACTTTAGTTTTTCTTTTTTTTTAACGAGGCAGGACGTATTCTGGATGGTGACCTCTCTTTCAAGAGTCTTGGAAAGAATATTTCCGAGGCCTGTTGAAGAGAAAGAAGTCACCTGTCCTTGAAACGTCCTGCCTCTTTCTCTTAACTGCGGTCCTGATTTTGAGCGTCGTCTGAGGTATGGGCTTTTATTTTGTACTGCATAGTTCTCACAAGTCTCCTTATTCGAAGGGTCTAGGTTCTCATTATAGTAACGCATGATGTAGCAATCATTTTCACAGACTCATTTGCATATCTCGTCCCGTTCACAAAATATGTAATCGGGGTTTAAGTATAGTTTCCAATGTAGGTGGCACAGATGTCCTACGAATGTTCGCGGGACATCTGTGGAACGTTACGACGACCTGAGAACCACAAACACGTGTGATGCGAAATGTCTGTTGTGCGAGAGAAACAAACCGTAATGTTTAACGCGCAGCAAGAATAAAACACGCATAGCCCAGATCTCAGATTCTGCCACAGCTACGGCGCTAGCAATTGAGACTACTAATTTCGAAGCTGTCGGGATAAGAAGTTATAAATTGAAAAAACTGAATAGCCCTATAAGAGGAAATTACTGCCGATATGCCAAGAAGACATGAACACGTGACAGGCGGCACCTGCTTCTGTGTTCACGACTTCCGGGCACTGCAGTCCGTGACAGTGTCACCCTCCGACAGATGCAGCGGAGAGCAACCATTAGCTAGCGCGACATTCTAGTTCAGCGAAAGCGGATTGTTGTCCTCCTCTGACAGCATGTTGGAAAAAATCGCCTACTGTAGCCATCTAAAGCGGCTGCAAATATAAGCGACTTAAAGAGTCGCGCTAGTATACATCATGTCCCAGCTCCCGGGGACAATAAAAAGCAGACATCGGGAGCGCTATAACCACGAGCACCAGAGTTATGAGAGAAATAACAAATACAGTCGGAGAGTCATGGTCGGCGATCGCCCCGGTCACTTACATTGCCGTTTGTCTGGGACGTGAAGTTGAGCACAGCAAAGGCCAGCGTGTACGTGGACATTGGCATGGTGGTCTGGAAGTGATCCGCCACGAGTTTGTGGTGCCTGAAAGTGTACGTACAGCAAATCGTTGACGGGGACGCTCATCACAATAGAAACAATGATTAGAAATCCTAAAAAATATACTAGAATGCACATAGCGCATGGGGACAAGCACGCCTATCTTACTAAGTGTTTTAGTCTTATTTTTGTTTTACCTCCGCATTCTTTTTAACAGAAGGTATTTATATAATTTCGTATCAATTAACGAATTTCCATTTCCCAGGCTTCCTACAAAAACAAAAATGACAAAAAACGATTCACTCGTGGGTGGCATTTAGGCTAAAAACTTTTAAAACCATAATTACAGTACATCTTTGTGCTGTAAACTCAGAAACTGATGTTCATTTCATCATACTTCTTCTATGCGTTCCGGGAAGTGATTAAAAAAAAAGAAAGAAATCAATCATATATATCGGTTGCGTTCCAACAAAATTATGCAATACATTCAGAAAGAAATGTGAAGCCTGTATTGTATATATTTTCACGCGGAGTTACATCGCTTCTGTAGTGGTCGGCTCTTTCTTTCTAATCTGAAATGCCTGTCGTGTCCTGCTCTCAGTATACAATTTAAATGTAGGAAGGGGTAGAGGTTGTTAGTTCCTCTACCCCATGTCACATTCTCTAAACTCCATTGAAAAACAAATACATATCTTGTATAATTCGCCCCACAGGTATCGGAACCTAGGCATAATTTAAGTTGTACGTATGTAGGTATACATGATCTTATATATTCTCATGTGTTTATTGGACACATTCATATAATTTTCTGACTAGGGAAATCCATGGAAAATATCAACGTGTCTGTGATGTAGCGCACAAAACCCTCATGACGAAGCGCATTTTGCCAGAACATTATTGTGCTTTCCAGTACTAAATATATGCACCGTCATACTAGTTACTACTTGCGTAAAGGTCAAAGTGTGCCGTTTACCAACGAACTTTAGGTCAGTAATCTACTCCTCCCCACCATCTATAACAACGTTCCCGGAAACAACGTGAAATCCGTCCCTAGGTATAGTTTACTTGAAGATCGCACCCAACCCTGCAATGAGGTAGACGGATCGGCCCGAGTAGAATCGTACCTGTTCTCGCTTCTTTCGAGCGGCATCGTGGAGAGAGACCTGTAGCCCCTGGGTCGAACGATGGTGACGGCAAAGGTGGCCTTGAGGTCGGGCTCGTCAAAGCAGGGAAACGCCCTCCTCGCGTACGACGGCTCGAAGAAAGTCAGGAGTAGGTGGCTGGAACCAAGAGGGTACGCCGTAATTAAAAATGAACATAAAAATTATTTATGAAAATAATTCTTTCGGGCAACCAAAAACTTTATAAAAAATATGGCTAACTGCTAAACCTAAAAAAAGATAAGATAGCTATGAGGAGCGCAAGTTCGTCTGCTTCTCGCACAGGGGTTGCGATGATGTCAGAACAATAAACTCTTATTGGCTGATTGAAAAAAAAGTGAAAGCCGTTTACAACTCCCTGTAACGCCGAATTGGAGCGCAGCTCTTGAGGAGGAATAGGGAAGGCTACTGAGGGGGGTCACGTCACCTGCGGGTAGTCACGTGACCCCGGGGGGGGTCACGTGATCTCGGGGGAGGGTGGGTCACGTGACTTCGGGGGGGGGGGGGGGGGTCACGTGACCTGGGGGATCACGTGACCTCGGGGGGGGGGGGTCACGTGGTCTTGGGAAGGGTCACGTGACCCCCCCCCCCCGGTTACGCCGACGCCGACGCCGCTCAGGCTGGAAACGGGCCCCTAAGAGCTGCGTTCTAAAAAAAAAGAATGAAAGCCGTTTACCCTGTAACGCCGGATTAGGGCGCAGCTCTTGAGGAGGAGGATGGAAGCCTACTGAGGGAGAAGTTACTCCTTGAGGTCACGTGACCTCAGGGGGGGTCGTGTGACGTCAGGGGGGTCACGTGACCTCGGGGGGGGGGGCGCGTGGCCGCAAGGGGGGTCACGTGGCCTCAGGGGGGTCATGTGGCCGCAGCGGGGTCACGTGACCTAAAGGGGTTCACGTGACCTATAGGGGTCACGTGATCTAAAGGGGTCACGTGACCTCAGGGGGCCACGAGACCTTGGGGGGTCACGTGACCTCGCGGTTACGCCGACGCCGACGGCGACGCCGACACCGCTCAAGCCGGAAACGGACCCCTAAGAGCTGCGCTTTTTAAAAAGAACAGTGGGTAGATCTCAAGGCATGTAGCATTGAAGTTTACCCACTATCCTTTCAATCAAGACCAATCAGAGCTCGGCGTCGTTCTGACGTCACCCCAACTCCTGCGCCAGAAGCAAACGACTTGCTCTCCGCATAGGCTAGAGCGCTGTTCATAAGCAAGCCAGAATTGGCCTACACCAGGTGTGGGCACTGATCATGCGCAGAAACCGGATTCGTATGGGGTAAGGCGACTGAGCATGCGCTGTGAAGCGTGACGTCAGAGCCGCGTGGACCAGCTCCTCCTAAGAAGCTCTCCACTCTTTCAACATAACGCTGGAGACGAGGCTAGTGGAGAGGAGGAATGCACTAATCATAAAAAGCAGAGAGCTTTGAGCTTTATACTCTGTTCCGGGTTATAACCCGGAACAGAGTAAAGGTTTTACTGCGCTGATGTCACCGACGTATTTTACGAATCGGCGCCTCTCATCGCCGCGATAGCCACGGATACATCGCAGCTGAGCGAGATTCAATTAGATATGTTGGGGGTGTGGGTGACACGGGCCCGTTGCGACGCTGGTCGGAACGGGGAAGTCTGTGTGTGCTTGGATGCTCCGTGCGATGCTCCTCGGCACCACACTCATCCACGAGCACACACACTTGAAGGCCAGCAGAGCCGCTCCGAGCTCTTCTCGCGTTCCGCCTTTCGCCGCACCCGCTGTCACTCCCAACTATCGCGTCGCGTTCACCCACCGGTCCAGTCTCGGCATACACTCACATGACACTTGACTCGGCTCGAAACCAAGCCGAGGACCTCACTTTCTCATTCCTCTCCGTGTCAAAAAAAAAGAAACCGCCCGAGTTGGGGACAAAACATTCCGCCGCACCTTCCTCAAAAGTGGACCTCTCCTGCGGTTCCTAATTAGCGGGGTCCGCGAAACAGCACAAGCCGATGGCCCCAGCTCTCCTGCTCTAGTCGCGGGGAAAGGGGCGACCGACAAACGGATGCGCTCCCTCACGAAAACTCCAAACTAGAGAAAAATAGTCGAATTCTGTGACAACATGGTTCATCGAGTGGCAAGCGGTGAAACTGCAACAACTTTCTTTTTAACCTCCGGACTGCAGAATTTGTGAGTCGGGCACTTCAGTACAATGCAGCTTTTCGGCATAGCTACCGAGCGATCGATCACAAACAACGTAACCATTGCTCGAGCAGCCAGAAAACGAAAGTCTGCTCCGCGAAGAAAGCGCGGCCAGGAGCAAACCCGTTCAGCAGACGACGCTCGGGGATTGACTGCGCAGGCGCAGTAGGGTCTTTTTCTTGCTTCGTTTACCACATGATAGATGGCGCTTGGTTCTGAGCATTATCAAATTCGGCAACTTTTGTTACATCTCTAATTATGCTACAAAATGTGGATCTGAATATTAATTAACAAAAGTTTTAGGAAACATTCGCCGGCTATGTATTGTTTATGATCGCGGTGCTGGTGAGGTAGGCTCTTAACCAATAAGTGACGTGGATTTGGCTGACGTGCTGCGGTTTCGCGGATGCATCGCCGTGCAAAGGCAGCGAGCTTTCGAAGGAGAAAAGGTGCAAACGAGTCCGGTTTTCTTTTAAATGTTCTATAGTGAAGAATTTTTTTACTCTTTATTTTTGTGTTTTGTGTTTTTTTTTTACACCTTTTAGGACGTGCGGTGGATGAAATTCGATTTCAAAATCGTTTCATGGTTCCTTTAATATCCCAAAATGAACCTGTCTTTCTTTTTAATGCCCGTTTTTTACACGAAAAACCTCGAGTAAGGTCGCATAATAATAAAGGTCGCATGATAAAAAGGAGCCTTGAAAAATCCTTTTATTTGCAATATTTACAGCATTCTACGGGAATCGCTACATGTCTGAGATTTAAGCATATATATTTAGCTGGCCTATGGTTAACAACTATGGGCAAGTCTCCCTCCTTTGTAGTTTTTCGAAAGTTTATGAAATTGTTTGCACACCCGCCTTTACGCATATTTTTGCCGGAAGATTATTCCTGAGCAACATGGTTTCATGAAAGGCCGCTCCACAGGAATAAACCTGTGTTCCTTCCTACATCAGATTGTAACATCTGTCTATAGCGGAGGACAAGCGGATGTAGTCTACTTTGATATGAGCAAAGCTTTTGACAAAGTTAATCGCCGATTACTGTTGAGTAAACTCTGTATTTACGGTCTGTCCCTTAGGTACTGTCGTCTCCTCGATAGTTACTTATCTCATCGGCTGAACTTTGTGCGAGTATCCGGCCGATTATCTGCTCTTTTTTATCTACTTCTGGGGTTCCTCAAGGCAGTAACCTCGGTCCTTTGCTGGTTTTAGTTTTTGTAAATGATCTAACTTCCTGTATTAAACACACGCGGTTTTTGTTATCTGCTGATGATATTAAGTTGTTTACAGCGGTTAAAACGGTTGACGATTGTGAATGTCTTCAGCGCGATATAGATTCTATTTCGGCGTGGTGTTTTTCAAATGACCCACTCTTAAATGAGTGAAAGACGAAAGTTATGTCCTTTTCTAGGAAGCGTGAAATTCTGAGTTTTCCCTATGTATTAGATTCCACCAATATTACTCGCGTTGAGGTCATCCGTGATCTAGGCGTTTTTATGAATCCAGCAATTAACTTCAACCATCACGTGACCGCAATTACGAATGCTTCCTTTAGAGTGTTGGGAGCCATTACACGAGTGACACGCGATTTTTCAAAACCATTTTGTATTATACGCTTGTTTTCTTCACTGGTGCGTAGTCGTGTTGAATATGCCTCAGTTGTCTGGAACTGCATTGGAGTGACCAATTCAGGTTTAATTGAGAGTGTTC